GTTTTGTGCCTTTCAGATCTGTCCCCTCCTTTGCCCCCTGGGGTCCGTGCGTAGCCGCAGTGGGCTCGGGGCAGCGCGCGCAACCGCTGAACTGGACACCTCGGTTCTGGCGGGGAGATTCTGTTTCGTTTCGGGAATCCTCCGTGTTTTTATTTCTGCTTCCTTCCCGGAGAGGTCATCTCCGTCTGCAAGGGCTGCGCCCACAGCTGCCAGGGGGACTGTCTTAAGGGTTTAGCAGTGTTGGGGACGAGCCCAAAGCAGAACATGGAACAGTGGTCTAGTTCCATCAGGGGACAGCCATGTTTAATTTAGGGGTGGTAACTGGTGAGCATGATGCCCTTGCCAGTTAACTGCGGACGGGCAGTTGCGCCAGGCCAGAGGAGCCCTGGCTAGGATGTGCTGGGCAGCAGGACTCCATGGCTATGAGGGAATGCTGCAGTGGTGGGCCAGGTGGGGAGAAAACAGTTAGCTTAGTTAAAACAGTTAATTGGATACACACTCTCACATATCCAGTTCACTGTTTTACATTCTGGGGACCCAAATTAAATTAGGAATGCTATCTGTAATATAGATGATAGGGATGTACAATCCTAACAGGTGAAACATTGGTTAACCATCTAACAGATTAAAGGGAGGCCCCAGAGCAGCCCGGGTCTATGGTGGTTCTGAAGGGAGCTGCTCCAGCCCCCACTGGTTAACTGGTTAAACATTCATATCCCTAGTAGATGATGGGATGGGAAGAGAAGACGCTATAGAAGCGAACAGCTGTAGTAATTCTGGATCCTTTGTAATAGGTGACTTATTTCTGAGGGTATGCTTTGAACAATTGCTGATGTTATGTGTTTGGGAGCTAAATGTCCCCTTGGCTACTGTATAGTCTCAAAATAGGTCTTTCAGATGGCTATTGTGTAGGTGCTGAACTATGTATTTAAAAAGACCGTGTGATATGAAATATATGAGAAAAATATGTCCGACTGCTGCCTGAGGTGAAAATGAGGTGCACATTGTAGGGTGTCCTGAGAAGCTTGTTTATCCTGTGAGGTTAACTAGAGATGTGACACACTAGTTAACCTAGTTAGACCCAGTCTGTCAAACATACCTGTGTCTTTGTGTCAGGCTGGTCCTCATCAAAAGTAACAGGGAAAAGATACCACACAGAGTCACATCTCTCAGCTCATAATCTATAGTAGACTTTTTTAAGGCAGTGGGTATTTTTGTTTGTTTTTTTTTTACTATAAATAGACCTTCCTTACTGCGGAGAAAAACATTATTTTGCTTATGATACTTCACATAGTAAGTTACTGGGACATAAGTTGTCCCATCAAGTGTGAACTATGAACTTTTGAATACTAATCAGACCTGTAGTAGTGGACAACTGAGGAAGGAATCCCAGCTCTGTAGTTTCAGTCAGTAAATCTCTTCACACTTCTATTCTGTTGCTTCATCGGTAAGATGGGAATACTTGCTTGTTTCACAGTTATTGGACATTTTTATTATTTACAAAGCACCAAGTAGTAGCAAAATCTGTGGAAAACTTTGAGGAGAATCAGCTCTGACTTTTGAGAGCCTGTAATGTGTGTGCAGTATCTTACATGCAAGCAAACAAAGATTAATTTCACAGTGTCTCATAATCTAGCATTACTTTTGTTGTCAAGCTTTGGCCAAGCGTTTAAGCATGGCGCACAATAGCAGTAAAAACAACAGTAGGGGTGCATGGGGTTTTTTTATTTTATTTTTTATCCAGCTTGCAGATTCTTCGCTTGAGATGTCACTATTTAGAAGATATAATTTATTAGATTCCACCTTATGGGGCAACAATTGTTTTAGATCAGTCTTTCTTGAACAGCTGGAAGGGTCTTAGTTACACACTTAGTGAATCTGAAATCTGACCTGTTTTTAGGGCACGAGAAATTTTGGCAGCTGAATGCAACTATTTTAAAGTTTATATAAATAACTGTTTTTAAGTTTTAAATATTCCAGCCAGATTGACTCCACTGTTACATGACACACTAGTTCATTTCAGTTTTTCGCTTCTTCCCAGAAGCTATTGTGTAGATTCTGTGTTTTGATTGAAATGGTATTGTTCCACTTTCTTCTAGTGAAGCGAGATGTCCAGGAAAATGATGAGGAGGCCGTGCAAGTTAAAGAGCAGAGCATCCTGGAACTGGGGTCACTTCTTGCTAAGACTGGACAGGCGGAAGGTAAGCCCTAGTTCTGACTAATTGGAATTCTTATAACATACATGTACACACAAGTTCGGGAGTCTGTAGGGAGATGCAAACATAAGAGTAGAGATCAGGTGAAGAAAACTACATGTGATCTTTGGAGTCTTCTGAGATTCTGAAACTCTTTTCCTGTTTTGAAGTAGATTGAAATTATTGCAAATCAATTAATGTTATACTCCTCCTCTCCCCTAGCTCTCCCTTCATACTGGGCATTTTAACCTTTTTAAAGAGAAAATTACACCTAGTCCACACTGAGTTTAACTTTGAAATGTTGGTTCGAATCAGAAAACAAAACTTTTCAGTGAAGAAAATGTTGAAATGGGACACCAACAATTGAAATTGTTTTCCAAAGCTTTTGAATTGAGAGAGTGATTTGACAAATAATATAAAGAGAATTTCCATACCCACAAAAGGAAAACTTATTTAGAACTGTATCTGAAAGGAGAGGAATGGGTGAAGCATTTCTAATCAGTGATTGTTTGGTTCAGTTATAGTCCCATCTTTACTTTCCCTGGGAAGTTCTAAGATAGCATGCTTGTCATGGTTAGATCTGCAGTCGCTTGTTCAAGAATAATTACCTTGCATTTTTTGAGTCCAAAAGGATTTTACAAATGGATATAGCAACTTCAGACAAACATCTCTCCATCAGGGTAGATTGATTTAAATCAACTTACTAAAGAAGCTCAGACTGACTGTGCTTAGCGCCCACTCAGCCTGGAGTAAGCCCCGTTGGACTCCCTGGCACGTCTGTGTTTGGAATGGGGCTCCCTTGGAAAAGCTGAGTTATGCTGATATAAATTAGAGAACAGATTTGTGGCATCCCCATTAGTCTGCGGCCATGAGTTTCCAAAATAAGGGCCATATATTCTATAATAAGAAATTGACACTCAGTGGCAACTAGCAACTCGAGCTCTTACTGCAGCTTTCTGAATTGTAGACTTGAATGAGAGATTCGAAACCTACTGAACTCATTAAACAAGCCATACGGATTAGCAAAGCTACATGGGTTTTTCTAGCAACATCCAACGCCATAAACATTTTGGGAATTCACTTGTCAAATCACACTTGTGCTGACAGGCAGAGAGAAGAATGATGAATGCAAAGTGAATTAGTTACACTGCTAACCAGTTGATTCACTCAGCCATAGCCACAGATTCATTCACATCACGTTCTTCCAATAAGCAGTTTTCCTTGTGATACGTAAGAACGGCCAGAGTGGGTCAGACCTCAGGTCCATCTAGCCCAGTGTCCTGTCTGCCGACAGTGACCAGTGCCAGGTGTCCCAGAGGGAGTGAACAGAACAGGGAACCATCCAGTGATTCCTCTCCTGTCATCCATTTCCAGAGAAACACAGGCTAGGGACACCTTTCCTGCCCATCCTGGCTAATAGCCATTGATGGACCTAACCTCCATGAATTTATCTAGTTATTTTGGTTTTTTTAATTAAGTTCTACTCTTCACAACATCCTCTGGCACCATGAATTTATCTAGCTCTCTTTTAAACCCTGTTAAAGTTCTACTCTTCACAACATCCTCTGGCAAGGAGTTCCACAGGTTGACTGCAATGCATGAAGAAAAACTTCCTTTTGTTTGTTTTAAATCTGCTACCTATTAGTTTCATTTGGTGACCCTAGTTCTTGTGTTACGGGAACAAGTAAATAACTGCTGTTTTATTTTTGTAACTGGGCCCTGTATCATCTTGTCCTGCTTACACTTGGCACATTTTCCTTTTTTACTCATGGAATGAATTTCTTCAAAATATTCCTAGGTAGGTTCTCTCTTACGCCCAGAAGCAAGGGCAGGTTTTCCATTGCAGAAGTGCGGGGGGAGAATATAGAACGTTCTGTGTGCTGAAAATCTTCCCTTTTCCTTTCCAGTGCATCCCACAGTTCCTTTCTATGCTGCCTTCATCCTTTCCTGTCGACTGTCTGAGACCATGTCTTAACTGACTCCTGTCATGCTTGGCTCAGGTCCACCACTACATAAGCACAAAACAAAACCAATCTGGTTCAGCTCGTGTCTGTCTCTGCACATGTTACGACTTAGTCTGCTGACAGTCAGGAACGGAAAGCCCAGAGTTTTCGAGAGGGACGAGTTAGTAGTTAGACCGGACAGACTAGAGCCATTAAGTCATTGGGAGGAGTATTGAATTGTATGTGTAACGTGGTTGTGATGACATTAAAAGTGCTGAGGGATTTCAGTAATAAGTGATCCAATTTTCAGTTTTAGGTCTGTTATTCCCTGCTTCCATAAATACAAGGGCTGTCAAGCGATTCATCACACGACTAATCGTGTACACCTCCCCTTTGAAATTCCGTCGCAGCGTTTCTATGGAGCAGCTCTGCGTGGAGCCTGGGATCAGCTAGAGTCCCTAGCTGACCCTGGGCTCCATGCAATGCTGCCCCTTTAAAACGCTGCCTTTGGCGTTTCAAAGGGGCAGCTGCTGTGGAGACTGGAGTCAGCTAGGGACTGCGCAGCTAATCCTGGGTTCTGCGCAGCAGCGGAACCTGGGGTCAGCAGGGGGCTCCCAGCTTAACCTGGGGTCAGCAGGGGGCTCCCAGCTTAACCTGGGGTCAGCTGGAGACTGCTGACTCCAGGTTCCATTGCCACGCAAAGCCCAGGGTCAGCTGGGGAGTCTGCACAGCATTTCCCCAGAACCCGGGATCAGCTGGGGAGTCCCTGGTTGACCCCAGGTGCCACGCAGCACTTCCCCGGAACCTGGGGTCAGCTGATGAGTCCCCAGCTGACTCTGGGCTCCACTGCCCCTTTGAAACATGTGGAGGCGGTGTTTCTAAGGGGCGGCTGCCACACAGCTGATCTTCGGCTCAGCTGTGAGGTAGCTGCTCCTTTGAAATGCCACCTCTGCGCATTTCAAATGGGCAGTGGAGCCCGGGGTCAGCTGGGGACTCCCCAGCTGATCCTGGGCTCCATGTTGCACATCCCCTTTGAAGTGCCGCAGTGACACTTCAAAGGGGCAGCGCAGCATTAATGTTAATCGTGGACTGGTAATTGCAGGCGTTAACGTATATCAATTGACAGCCCTAATAAATACGTTTGTATTTTGGCTTTGGCATTTATATGTTGGTACGAAATTAGTTATGTCTGAATATTCTGGACACTTTGCTACATCCTGATGAACACAGTTTGTGGAAGAATTGATTGCTTCCCGCATTGCCCTAAATGAAGAGAACCTGCTTCTTTCTGAACTGGTGGCTGAAAACAACATCCACGCCAAATTAGTACCCTCCTTTTAAAAATATAGCCGAGTTGGTTGTAGAGAAATTGAATAAACTGTTCTAGGAGCTGCTGATTCATAAAAGTTTGAACAGGAAACTTTACAAACAACGCAATGCACTTTGGGTAACCTCTGAGGCTGGCTGTTGAATGAATTACCACCAAAGCAATTGGTGCTTGATAGAAAGTCAGGATTTTATGTACCAGATGCCCACTAGTGAGAACCGTAAACCTACTTACAGCAAGGATGGCTTGAATTTATAATCCTGCAGCCACAAGTGAGTAAAGTGTATGGATTTGTCTTGCTCCGAGTGACTCAGCATTCCAGGTCTCCTTTAGAATCAGTTCTCTAGTGACACACAACGTGATGAATTACCAGGTAGGGGTAGGACTATTTCAATCAGGTTCAATATTCTGACCGTTTAATTTGAAAATCCTGTTGCTTGCTTGGAATGTTGGCCCATTAGCGTTCTGCACCTAGATTTGAGTTGGTCCTGACCAGCAGGGGATGCTGCAGAGACATTGTGCCTAGGAGATGAAATTGATGGCTTTCGAAGGGGTGGGGGCTTAAGACAAGAAATGACTAGCTAAGTTAGTCACGTGGGACAAATTGGAGCATGCATGGTCATGTCTGGGTGGAAATGGGACTTGCTCAATGTGTTCTGCAGGAAAACATTGATGTTAGAGGATTTATTATTCTGCAACTGGCAAACATCTCATTTGTTGTGGCCTTGGGAGAAAAGGCCATTGTTAACTTGTTGCTGTCATGATGGGTTGTATTCAGTGCTGTGTGTGTCAGTCAGTCAGTCACACGGTACGCAGTACCGGCACCTCCAGTCAGAGCTCAACAACTTTCCCCTGGAGTAGCGGCACCTTTTTTTTTTAATAAGCACTGGCTGTATTCATTGGGAGACAAGCCATTGAAGAGAAGTCGTTGTCTTTTCCCTATAACGCCAAGCACTTTCACCTCTTTTGGGTAGTTTATACAGGACTTTGCAGTGGGATGAATATTTTAAGAAGGAATGCTGCCAGATTCATGGTCTGTTAAAGCTACAGTCTCTTGTTACATCCCCTGCTGGCCTGCGAAGTAGAAATAGCAAAGGCTAGGACACACATGACAATTCCTGGTCATTGCAGATTGAAATTTAAAAGAAATTTGGTCAGTAAAAACTCCTAAATTGGAAGGATTCCAAAGACTTTGTGCATAAAAACTCACATCTTGAGCAAAGTGATCTCAGGCAGGGTGAGATTATGACATTAACAGCTGCTTGCCATGCTCCCCATGTAAATCCTAGCAGTGCATTGTGATGCTCAGCTATTATTACAAAGATAGAGAAAACAAACTCTGTGCTGATCTTGAAGGACACATCAGATTAATAGGTTTCATTCATGCTACAATGAGCTCTTTCCTGTAGGGATGTGAATGGCTAGTCGACTATCCGATAAGCATGACAGGCTAGTTGACTAGTCGCTTTCCCCCTTTGCTGCCTCTATCAGAAAGAGGCTCCTTCAAAGCAGCAGCGCCGTGTGGAGCCCAGGGTCAGCGGGAAGTCCCCAGCTGACTCTGGGCTCCATGCAACACTGCTGCTTTGAAACGCCGCGGGGAGCGCAGGGCCAGCAAGGGACTGCTTGAGTCCCTCACTGGCCCCATGGTCCCCACAGTGCTTTCGCCTTTGCAGTGTAGCTATGCTTGCAAGAAGTGCCCTTATTGACTAATCAAACAGTCGATGCAAATTGCAATCACTTCCCTGTGCATAGAAACGGTGACACAGCACTAAAATTCAAATAGGATAGACTTCAATATGCTAACTTGTGATGTGATTATTGACTAAGGGTTTAAAAATGAAGAGATGTTAATTCCTCCAAAAGTCTGAGGAAGCAACCTGCCCATTCTTATAGAGCTGGGAGAATATTTATGCAATAAAGCAAAGTAGATATTTGTTCCTGACCATTTCTGGTTTTGCCTTGTTCAGTTTAAAGTAAGAATTAAGACTCGTAAAGGGATTATCAGGTGTCTTAAGCAAATTTTCAATAGCACAATAATTGCATAGTCAAGAGCTGTGCTCTTTTTGTACAGTCTTTCGGTGAGATTCTCAGGGGGTAGCCATGTTACTTGATAACTTTAAAAAGGAGTAGTCCTGTGGCACCTTGGAGACTAACAAATATATAGTATCATGAGCTTAGATAGGATGATCTGAGACTGTAGTGGCTACTGCTATAGCAAACTAGGCACACTCAACTTGCCAAATAGCCACATGTAGCTAGTGGCTAGCACATTGGACGCCACAGTTCTAGATCGTCCCATCTGAGGAAGAGGGTCGTGCCCACGAAAGCTCATGATGCTCTATGTATTTTTGTTAGTCTCCAAGGTGCCACAGAACTATTCTGTGAGATTGTGTAAGCCAAGCAGAATGCAGTGTGGTCAACATTTGGATGCTTGAGTTGAGATTGCACAGGAAATAAGGACCCCTTCCTTGAGTGGTAAGCCAGTGCTTTTGCATTCTACTAGGGGTGTTGTTGCCTCTTCCTTTCTTAAACAGCTGTGGTGTTCTGTGCTCACTGAATACTCTTCCTGCCCGGTCTATCCCAGCAAAGGGTTAAATCACCTGTATTATATGACCCACATCTTTTAGGCTTACTACACCAAGCTGAGATGCGCTTGGGTAAGTGTAAATTAAGATACAAACTAATTAGTGGTGCAGAAAATCAGTTTACTGAAAAATAAAATCTAAAATAATGCACATGATGGAAAACGCTTGGAAAATGTCACGTTTAACTATTCTTCCTGTCAAGAATGTATATTCTATTGTGAATTTGACCCGTCTCTTGTGAAGGTGGGTACGTTAAAATAGTAAACAAAAGCAAAGATTTCACTTCCATTTTATACTCCATTGCCCCTCTTACCAAAAATCTGTAAGAACTTTTCAGATGTTAAGAGCCTTAAAACACACCTGAGAAGTATTGTTATATGCTTTTATAAATAGGCAAACTATCCCATAATCCGTGAGCATCAGAGCCACTAATAGAACCCAGAAATCTTGGCTTCCAGTTTCAACTACTGTACGCGCTTCCTTCGGAGTCATTTACCACTGACTTATAGGAAATACTGCTTCAAGAATTTAGGATAATAAATATTGCTGTGTGTACACCCGAGTACCCAGATTGCATTGTAACATTACTGTTGTGTCTTGTATTTTGAATCCAACTGTTTGCCCTGAATGCAGAACTTGGAGGACTTCTGAAGTATGTTCGACCCTTCTTGAATTCCATCAGCAAAGCAAAGGCAGCCCGTTTAGTCCGCTCTCTCCTCGATCTGTTCCTCGATATGGAGGCAGCAACAGGACAGGAGGTGAGACTCTTCCAATTAAAAAAGCTCATTGCTCAAATGCTCACTGCACCGCAGCCTGATCTGTACAGTGGAGAATCATTTGTAATGTGTCTCAGCATGCTCATTGTATCATGCATCTGATCATATTCCAGTAGTACCACAGTGGCTACTCTAATTCACACATCATCATGTAACCTGAAAGCACTGACTTGAGCTGGAACCCTTGCCATGCTGGAATGGAGTAGGTTCTTAGCTTGGACTGTCTGAGAATCATGCTGCTTGCTCTTAAATGTGCAGTTCCAGTATTTTGTGGAGGGTGCTCAGGGTGCTGTGGGGGGGCGATATGCCTGCTCTGAGGAGCTCAGTCCATAGGCTTAGAAGGCGCAGTATGTCACAGCACATGACGTGGGTGGAGATTGCCTTAAGACTGGAATGGTTGATCCAAAACTTGGGGTGTTAGAGTTCTAAAAAGGTGGGTGGGGCTTGGTGCGTGTTTCAGCAAGTGATCTCAAAGCCCCATTCAGGCAAGCGCTGCTCCATACTCCATTGAGGCCTGGCAACGTGGCCACAATGGCAGAGCAAGGGGTGGAGCCAGGGGTCCTGTATGTCTTGCGCTCTAATCGATGGATGACTCCCTGGAACACAGACAATTAACTAGTAATGTAGTTTTCATCTTTCACCTGAGGAGATTGCCTCAGCCAAATCTCACCAGTAGGAAAGGGTGCACAACTAAGCCGTTGGTTAAGTTTCATCCCATTTGCCTTGACTCCCTAGGTTGGGTTCTTTGGGCTAAGTAGCTGATTCAGGCTGGCTGGGGAGAGGGTGCCACCAGTTTGAGAAGCCCCAAGCTAGGTGAAAGCTGACTGGATAGTCCCCAGGGTGGGGCTGGCATGGGCTGGAGAGGAAGTGAGGTTGAGGGGGGCTTGTACGGAAAGGCCTCGTATGAGTGCAGATAGCAGAGGAATAAGCCCGGAAAGGAGGCACGCTGAGAGGCAGATGTCTCCTCACTGATTAAGCCAGTGCAGCACTGCCATCCAAATGTAGCTGTTTCCACAAGCATTTGTTGTTTGCTGGCCTGCCCGTGTGTATTGTGCCAAATGGTGGTTGACCAGATGAGCCCACTTCCAACTTAACAGTGGAAGGAACGGATCTTCCAAAGGGGCAGGAGAAAATGGAGGGACTTTTCAGAGTTCCATTTCTGAATGGGTTTGCGACTGTTTGTCTTTAGTTTGCGATCCCAACAGGTGGCGTATTCCGGCAAGATGAGCAGCATCTCTGAGTAAGGCCTGGGGAGGCATCACCCACTTTAGTCAACATACCCAGCTCCCAACTAGGGATGTGAAGGACTAGTCAATTATCCAACAAGCCCGTGCTTATTGGATAGTCGACATGTTAGTTGACTAGTCGCTTCCCTCCCCTTGCTTCCTCAGGCAGCAAGGGGGGGTGCTGCAGGGGGTACTTCAAAGTGGCAGCGCTGCTTGAAGCCTGGAGCCTGACCCTGGGCTCCGTGTGGCGTTGCCACTTTGAAACACCCCATGCAGCCCAGGACCAGCTGGGGTGTCCCCAGGCTGCATGCGGCGTTTCAAAGCGGCCACGCCGCATGGAGCCTGGGATCAGTGGGGGAGTCCCCAGCTCATCCTGGGCTCCACATGGCGCTTTCGCCTTTGAAGTGTAGCAAGAGGCCTGGAGCTGTTGCTACATTTCAAAGGCGGAATCGCCCTATCGACTAGTCAGTTGATCAATATCCAACATCCTGACTCCTGACAACTCCGACAGTGCTTTTTGTTGGGGGCGGGGGGGGGGGAGAGTCAAGCACGCTTGTGTTCGTGTCTGACTCAGCAAACCCAGAGGTCCAGGGGCTGCGAACTGCTGTGGCTAGAGGAGCCAGGGCAGATTACGCACTGCTGGGAGGCAAACCGCAGCAGTTTAGCCAAGTGTTTCTTCTCAGATCTACTAGATGCCTGTGGCAACTTGTTAGACACTTGGCACCAGTATGTCATAGAATCCTAGAGCTGGAGGAGACCTCAGGAGTCCTCAAGTCCTGCCCCCGGCCACGGCAGGACCAGTCCCAACTAAATAAACCCAGCCAGGGCTTTGTCAAGCTGGGATTTATCCACCTAGGGATGGAGACTCCACCCCCTCCCTAGGGAGCCCAGCCCAGCGCTTCCCACCCCCAGCATAAACTAGGGATGTTAGATAGTGATTCATTTAATAATTGTGTAATCACATCAACACTTAGTGGTTCCACGGTTATTGGGTAGTCCCCAGGGGTGGGGCCAGCAGCCAGTGTGATCCCGGCCCCACTCCCGGGGAGCCCCCTGCTGCCTCCGATGCATTGTTCCAGGAAAGTGAACTACTGCCTTATACTGGCTCTGCACGAACTTCCCTACTCGAGCTGAAGTGAGGGCCAACTGTTACTGCGCTTGCGGAAGGTTCCAGGCGTGCAGTGTGGCTGTGCTCTGTTCGGCAGCTGCTGTCTCTAGGGATGTAATAGTGTAGTCGATTAACCGATAAGCAAAAGTGCATCGGTTAATGCTGTAGACTAGATGCATTCCTCCTCGCCATTGGAGAAGGGCAGTTGGAATTGCAACTCGCAAGGGATATGAAGGATAACGCTTGGAAGAGGGGTAAGTGATCAGGAATAGTCAGCATGGATTCACAAAGGACAAGTGGTGCTTGACCAATCTGATTAGCTTCTATGATGAGGTAACTGGCTCTGTGGATTGAGAAAGTCAGTGGATGTAACATACCTTGACTTGAGCAAGGCTTTTGATACGGTCTCCCACAGTATACAAGTTAAGGGAGTATGGATTGGATAAATGGACTATAAGATGGATGGAAAGCTGACTAGACTGTCGGACCCAATGGGTAGTGATCAACGGCTCGATGTCAGGTTGGCGGCTGGTTTCTAGCCAAGTGCCCCAACGTTTGGTTCTAGGGCCGGTTTTGTTCAACATCCTTATTAATGACCTGGATGAGGGGCTGGATTGCACCCTCAGCAAGTTTGTAGATGACACTAAGCTAGTGGGAGAGGTAGATACACTGGAGGGCAGGGATAGAGTCCAGAGTGACCTGGACAGATTAGAGGATTGGGCCATAAGAAATCTGATGAGGTTCAACAAGGACAAGTGCAGAGTCCTGCCCTTGGGACGGAAGAATCCCAAGTATTGTTACAGGCTGGGGACCGAATGGCTAAGTATCAGTTCAGCAGAAAAGGACCTGGGGGTTACAGTGGATGCAAAGCTGGGTACGAGTCAGTGTGTTCTTGTAGCCAAGAAGGCTAATGGCATATTGGGTTGCATCAAGAGGAGCATTGCCAGCAGATCCAGAGATGTGATTATTCCTCTTTAGTCAGTTCTGGTGAGGCCACATCTGGAATATTGTGTCTGGTTCCAGGCCCCCCAATTACAGGAAGGATGTGGATGCATTGGAGAGGGTCCAGCGGAGGGCAGCTAAAATGATGAGGGGGCTGGAGCACAGGACCTATGAGGAGAGGCTGAGGGAGTTGGGTCTATTTAGTCTGCAGAAGAGAAGAGCGAGGGGGGATTTGAGAGCAGCCTTCAACT